TCCACTTGGTCCAGTGCGCGGGACAATTATCAGTTCTGTCGGCAGAATCAGGGCTGTCTGAATTGGCACTGTCATTGATCATACTCGTGTTGTCGTTCAGGCCATACAGCCAAAGTTGCTTGCTTGATGGGAGGCTGCAATTGCTTCGGTGATGACGAAGTGTGAGGGCTGTCCGGGGTCCTCTTTGTGTTGACATTGCCCTAGACGACTCAATTGAACGAAAGCAGCACCAGAATTTGGACTTGGATGGATGGATACGAAATTCGTTGACACAGAACTACCCTGGGACCATAGAGTTCAGCACTCACAAAATTTTGGGGATGTTCTCATCACCACCGCATGGGAATTACCAGTCGTTCTTGCCGTAATTAGGAACGGAAGGATTCCAAACTTCAGGAACATGTGACGAAGATTCCTCACTTGCTTCAAGTCATGATTTTTGGGGAAAGCAACATGGCAACGTATTGAAAGTTGAGACGCAGGCCAAGGGTCTATGAATGCCTGGGTGCCCCTATCAAACGCATGATCCCAACACGGACATGAATTTACCTAGCGGATTCCAGTGAGATAATCCCTGCTTAGCTGCCACTTGCCACATGGTGAGTTTCGATTCTTGGTAATGTTGACATCGGAAGGCCCACAGGAGCAGTTGTCTTGGCTTGATCGATGAATCCGTTCCAACTTGACTAGTGATGTTGTCGCATTTCTCTCAGCTTTTCCAGAACGTGTTGAAGAATTTCCACTACATGTAAATGAATGCGAAAGTCGTTCGAGGCAAAGCTTCATTCAGGTGAGGTCCAGGGTGATGTGTGATGCTGCGGTTCTATGAATCGTCCTGATCATTCGATCGACTAGAACCTCAATACTCATCATGTATCACTTGATGACAATGACTCGGTGAAGGCGTCAGCTCCAGCGTTCCTTGCACCAACACGAGAACCGCAAAGTCCGATCGAATAGAACGACGTGTTCTGGATGCATCTGGGCCCCGTAATCGTCACCATCCATGTCGAGCTCCTGGCCTTGACATCAAAGCTCCGAAAGGGTGGTACGACAACCTTTATCTTGCCCCTGTCATCGGACCGAACCTAGGGAAAAACCCTGGTAAGGATGTGGCGAACCCTTGAACCGCGATATCCGACCTGCCAGGGTGCCCGCCAAGATGTGCACGATGAGCAGGGGACGTGTTAGACCCACGACGGCGACATGAACCAGGGTCGGCGAGCACCGACCGCGACTCTACTGCGACTAGGTCACCCGGCGACGTGCGACGAGGTAACCATACGCTTGCTGCAGCCGCAAAAAGGGTGCTGTGAATCGTGTCAATGTCAATCACAAACTGTAGAAGTCATGACAAGTGACTTATTCTTGTTTCGTCGAGGTTGCAAGCACCTGCTTGCTCCGAGGCCACCTACAAGCACCGTCACATTGATCAAGCATCACATGTCAGACACCCATGGTCTTTTGACGGCAAATAGGTATCATTTGGTTATCCCAGCAAATTAACCCCCATCCCTGCTATCCACAGCTCATGCCCTGCACATCCGGCCATCGGCAGCAACGGACCAACTCTCACTGCCAACGCCCTTGAGCACGTACAGCCGGCCCTCAGGGTCCCACTTGTTCTTGATCTTCAGCAGCTCGGCGTAGTTGTCGCCAAAGAAGGTCTTCTGCCAGTTGGGCTGCCTGAAGTCGGCCTCGTTCATGTACGAGCCGCTGCCGGGGGTGACGGCCTCGATCTGGGGCATGAACTGCTCCGTCATGCGGCGCTGGGCCTCGAGCATGTTGTCCCAGGGCGCCTTGCTGTCCCAGTCGGTGATGAGCTGCATCTGGACGAGGGTGTCGCGCCAGGCGGGGAAGACGGAGTTGTCGGCGGCGCCGGCGGGCTTCTTGTAGGTGCCGGCAGAACCGACGGCGAGGACGCCGTTGGCGGTCAGGTTGCCAATGACGGCCTTGAGGGCCGGGCGGTTGGCGTCCAAGAAGGCGGAGCGGGGGATGAGACGGCCGCCGAACTGGTAGCGGGCCACCTCGAGGCTGCCCTTGGGCAGCGGGCCCATGTAGCGGTCGTAGTGGTCGCGGTAGGAAAGGGTGCTGTATGCGACGGGCAGGTTGATGCCGATCTCGGTAAGAGCCGCGGTGAAGGGCTTCAGGACGACGTCGCGAACGTGTTCGGCAGACGAGTTCCACAGTGTCAGGGGCTTGACAACAAGCATCATGCTGTTCATGTAGTAGACGACCATGGCGCCGTGGTCGATCATACCGGGGAGCGCATCCTGGAAAGCGTCGACGGCGGCGGCGAACTTCTCGGGCGTCGTCGTGGGTTTGAGGAGCTGGAACAATGCGCCACCGACGGGGGCAGCGGGATAGGCGCGAACGGTCATGCCGACGACGACGCCAAAGGTGCCGCCGCCGCCTCCGCTGAGGGCCCAGTAAAGGTCAGGGTTGACCTTGGGCGAGGCCGTCACGGTACGTCCGTCGGCGGTGATGACGTGGAAGGACAGGGTCTGGTCAGCTGCCAGACCAAACTGTGTGCTCAGGGCAGAGTGGCCGCCACCCTGCGTGAAGCCGCCGGCGAGACCGACAGTGGCGCACTCGCCAGTAACGACAGAGAGGCCCTTGGCGTTGGCAGCTTCAAGGATCTCATAGCCCTGAACACCAGCGCCCACGGAGACAGCAGGGCCAGTGTAGTATTCGTCATCCCAGTCAACAAAGTCGATCGACTTGAGGTGGTTGGTCCAAATAGCAAGGGCACCAGCACCAGTGGATCGGCCGAGGAAGCTGAGCTCGGTCAGTACATGTGTGAAGTCATGCACGATGAATTAAACTTGGGTAGAGACATACTCATGACCGGTGTTGCGGACGACAACACGAAGGTTGTTGGCCTTGGCGAACTTCAAAGCCCTCGCCACATCAGACGAGCATTCGACATCAACAGCGTAGCTGACGTAGTTGCCGAGGGTGCAGGGCTTAGCACGGTCTGTGAAGGGGTCACAGCTCTGGTTGGC